CGATCCCATCATTTATTTCTGTAAGAGTTATAGCTTCACCTAGAAGTCCACATGTAATTCTGGTTTTTACTGACTTTTAGCGGTGAACCTGAACTACTCACGCTGTTAAACGACCCTCATGACGCCTTCAGGGACTCCCGGACAACCCACCACCGCAGCCCGCAGCCAGTTTTAGCAACAACAAACAACTTCTTAGAGAGTCAGACAGTAGAGTCCATCCCTCCGGCTTCAGTCCTGGCTCTGATTTATCCCTGTAGCCGGTTCGGAGAAAAGTTCTGAGCGTCTTTTACTGAAGTCTTAAAGTTTGTCTGGAGCGCCGTGAATGTCCTCCGGTCCGTTATAAACGTTGGACCGCGGGGAGGAACAACAGCCGACTGGTGTTTACGGGGTTCTGGAGCTCCGTCCTGGCTCGGTGTCGCTTTGGTTTCATGTCGGACAAAACGAAAAAGAGAAGATGAGGACCAATGTGTGAGTGTGAATCAGGACTGGACGCAGTTTGTCGGACCGGACTCATGGATCCAGCAGAGGTACCGACCGTCCAGCACCTCCAGACTTTAGCACAACTTTAGCTGAAACCTTCCTTCTGCTCTGTGCTGTTGGTCTGTGTGTCTGTAGCAGCAAATGGAAATCATCAGTTCATACTCATGTCTTCAGTAAAGACAGCCAGTGTTGAGCTGTAGAACAAAGTCACGTGTTATCTAGATTGATTTTAATTAGGCTGCAAGAAATGTTTGTTTTCATTTCATTGTAGTTTATTTTAATGATTAATCAAGTGTTTTATTCTCTAAAAAGTCAGTAAGAAGACATCCTCAAGTGTCTTGTTCAGTCCACAACCCAAAGATATCCAACTTACTGAAGCTGGAATCAGAGAAGTTTGAGGTTTTCTCATTAAGAAATTACTCACATTGATTAACCAGTTACAGACATAGTTGAGATTGGATTCAGTCGTAGATAACTAGTCAGTAAGTTGCTGCAGCTGCAGTTTTCAACACAAAAGGAAGAAGCAGCTCAGCAGAAACATCTCGACTATGTCAGCTGTCTGCACAGAAACAGCTGCTGCAAACAGCTCAGCCCCGGACCAGAGAGACGTCCATCACCTCCCCAACCCCAACCACAACCCCAACCCCAACCATAACCCTAATTCTAACCCTCCCTACTTCAGTCAGGAGGCTCTTTCATGGACCATCAGTACATGAAGAACACTGTTGCTCACTGAACACATGGAGCTGATGATCACTGCTGTTGTGCTTCAACGTGGTGTTTTTATTCTGCAGCTTGAATCTTCTGCCAGGTTCATAAGATCTAATGTTGCTTCTAGGACTGAGTTTTATTTACAAAAACAGTTTTACTGCAATTATTTTGTCAGATATGAGTCATGATTTTGGGCTGCAGGTGTCTCAGTGGTTAGCACCGTGGCCTCACAGCTAGAAGGTCGCCGGTTCTGGTCCCAGTGAGGACACCCGGGATCTTCCTGCGTGGAGTCTCCATGTTCTCCCCGTGCAGCGTGGGTTCTCTCCGGGTTCTCCGGCTTCCTCCCACAGTCCAGAAACATGCTGAGGTTAATTGGTGATTGTAAATTGTCCGTAGGTGTGAATGTGAGTGTGCTTGGTTGTCTGTCTCTAAGTGTAGCCCTGTGATAGACTGGTTACCTGTCCAGGTGAACCTGCCTTCACCCTGAGTCAGCTGGGATAGACTCCTCTAGTGAGGATTAAGGTGTAGAGATGATGGCTGGAGTCCTAGACGAGCATGTTCCCTGATGTCTTCAGACTATGATGGATGGGTCGGGGGTCTCTGAGGCACCACAGCGCTTCATTCATGCTGATATTGTTTGACTCATTTCAGCCTACATGGTGAAAAGTTCACCTCCAGCCATGTAGCATCATTAAAAGACTGAAATGCAATTTTCTATTTTAATATAAGTGCCCTGACACCTCTAATGGAGCTCAGGATTCATCCAAAGCAGCTGTAATACCAGTAATTCCACCGTATCCACCTGGCGTCTGTGAGGAACAGCTGATCTGTCAGATGTGCAGCAGAACATTACTCAGCTCAAATCCAGTGCTAATGAAGCTACAGCTGCTGTAGATGCAGGTTGTCAGTGACCACATGCCACCTACGCCGTCCCTGACAGGAGCTGAAGCAGATCTCCACATGGCTCAGCGAGGAGGGCCTTCATCCCGACTCCCCCCAGGAGGCTCAGCTGTGTCTGCTGTGGCGAGCCCTCCAGCGCACCAGAACCCGCCTGAGCAATGTGACGAGGGAGCTGGAGACCCACCGCTCGCAGCACTTAGCAGAGATGGCAGAGGTGAGTAGTCACCGCTGAAGATGAGCCAGAATAAGATGAGGTCCGTCCAGAAACCAAGACGTGTGCTTTCTGTCTGTCTGTCAGGTTCGCAAGTCGCTGGAGCAGATCAGAATCTTTACGGAGCACAAAGACGTTCTGGCTCAGGAGATCCAGGATGAGAACGATCGACTCAAGGAGCAGCTACGGCGCCTAATATCACTGCAGGGTTGGTAAATCTCACCTGTACAGCACCAACAGAGTAGTCCCAGAGTAGAGACCAGATTTAATGCAGATTTCCAACAGTTTTGCACAGAACTCGGCTATAGCTGGATGCTTTATTGATGCTTTACAGGAAGTTACTTTGCAGCAGCAGCTTCAGTCACAGTCAACCCACATCCAACACCGAACATGAAGAATTCACTGCACAAAAACACAGAAACACTAAAATGTCCCGAAGACTCAGAGCGAGATAATAAAAATATTTATGTGCAAAAATGTCAAAAATCTGTGTAATAAAAAGTATATTCAACATCCAAGAGTCAGTAATAGTGGAGTCTACAGGAACATGAAGACAAGGTAAACTTCTTTAAGGCATATTTCCTACTTTATTGCTGAGTTTTTCCCTATTAGTCAGTTCAGGAATATGTTATAAAAACCATAGGGATGAAGAGGAGTGATCCTGGGAGGGGACGTTACGCTGACTGTAAAGGGGACGGTGGTTATAAAGTGTTGGGTTGCACAGGAAATGATCTGGAGTTTGTTTTTCTGTTTGTTTTGTTTTTGTTTGTAAAGACTGATGTAAATATGTGTTGAGGTTAACTATACGGGGATTAATCAGCCGCGGCTTCCTCCTGCTGCCTATAGTGATTTATTTAGTCAAACACTTTTGGAGAGAACGTTTTCTCTGCTTTAGATTCAACAGAATGTATGTAGGTACATGATGATATGTGTTTATGTATAGATCAGGGTATGTATGTATTATGTCTGTCGCTCACATGAAGTCTTATTATTTCATATTTTTTAATTATATATGTTGTTATTTTCCTTTCGTTCTCTATGAAGAAGGAATGAAAATGAAATAATTTCCAAGGATTCTGAGGAAACAGTGAAGATATGTTTGTCTCATACACCGAGGAACCCTCTGCCTCCTTATTCTCTTATTCCTTATTCTAAAATAATCCTAAAGTCTGTCCCACTGGTGCATTTTCTGAGAAACGTGAATGAAAGTCCTTGAACCGACGGCCTCCTTTGAACTAAACCAGCAGATCAGCAGTCAGCATTACAGCTTCTTCCCCTTCCTCTCCTCTCTTTGCTGTGACAGATGCCCAGATAAGCGAGGTGGCCAAGATGCTGTACCAGCAGGGGCTCACGGAGCTGATCCACAGCAGCCCCAGTGAGCAGGTGGCCTACCTGCTGGTGGAGAGGGCTTCCCTGCTCGAGACCAGCGAGGCTCCCGAGAAGCCGACGGGTGACGGAGGCCCAGCCGGCCAGGTGGAGACGACAGCACCACCGCTGAACACCAGCGTACGCCAGGTTAGAAGAACAGCAACCCTGAGTTTTTAGCATTTTAAGACCTTTTCTTACAGCCTTTTAGCTTCAGGAAGAATATATAAAAGCACGTCACTTCCATTATATGAGAACATAAACCCACTACTGCCCCTTTTGTTATTTTTTTTTTCTTTTAAGTGTTTTAAATGTTTTTTCAATAACCACCATAACTCAGTAACTTCATGCATATTCTAGTATGTTCACGATTCAAACACCTCATTCTGTTCATCTTCTGTTATTTCACAGTCTTCCCACAAGGGGGCGCCACGCCACGGGCAGAGCGCCTGGAAGAGACTCCTTGGACTCCACAAGGCTTCACAGAGCAAACACACTTTTATTCCTGTATGTATATCGCGTCAGTGCATCCAACAGACACTCAAACTGCTCTCTGAGCCGATGCCGTTAGCTTGTGCATGATACTTCCTGTTGAGCGTCTTGAGAGCTTTGCATGGCTGAAGACGTTCCAGACACGACACCACTGACCGTGATCCAGTGCACTTCTCAAGGTGTATTTCTGACCATTCCTGCTCATATTCCTGCTCTGGTCCTCTCGGTATTGGCTGTTTCTTTAGGTTTCTGTGCATTGTGTGTCTCTGCAGGCGGAGGCCAGACATCTGGCCGGCCAGGCAGGTCACTTGGAGAAGGAGTGTTCCCGTCTGGAGAGGGACCTGGAGGAAGGCTCCCGCCGGCTGGCCATGGCCCACAACGAGATCCGGCGTTTGACGGATGAGCTGGAGTCTGCTCATTTGACCCAAAGAACGTACGGTGAGAGATGCTAATCAGCCGCTAATCAGGAGACTGTCCTTCCTGAAGTGGCTGATTACACACGAGCAGTTATTAGACTCACCTCAGTGCTGCTCTACTTCCTTTTATTCCAAACCAATCAGCCGTGACTGCTGGAACACCTCAGACAGTCCTCTGTACTGATGCTGATGCTCTGGATTAGTCCCACCACCCTACACTTCCAGACAGCCTCTGAACTGAACCTCTTTTTTGAGGAAACTCTGCGGATCGCGCTGCTTATTCTATCATCTGTGTTTTCCAGAGCCTGAGCTGGAGTCAGCGCAGCAGGAGGTGGAGCAGCTCAGACAAGAAGTAGAGAAGCTGAAGAAATACGGTGAGGAACTCTTTTATTTCTTCACTTGAGCTGAGTCTCCCAACGTCACGTCTCCACAGAGCTCAGATCAGCCTTTTGTGTTCATGCTTCCTTCTGTATGAAGGGTTCATTATTCCTGCACGTGCCGGGTCAGAGGAAGGTTGTATTACAATAAAGCACCGTCCAGAAACACAAGGAGGAAGTTCTGTCCTGAAGACAGAACGTCAGATGTCCAGTTGAGCTGATTAACGAAGCGTCACATTAGCTTCGTTAGTCATTAACTTTCTGCACAGAGCGAGGACTTTTCCTTTAACATGTTTTATTCATCATCTGACTTTCTCTCAAAAGAAATGGCAGAACTGAGAAAAGCCAAGGAGCTGAATGATCGTCTGGACCTTGAGATCAGGGCCTTGAGGAACCGGGTTCGCTCCCTGGACACTGAGAAGAGCTCGCTGCAGCATACGGTAGGATGCAGGCAGGAGGACGGGGATTTACCGACAAACACTCCTCACGGGAAAAGCACGACTATGATTACTGAGATTAAATACTGAAAACGACAAAATAGACATACATTCATAGATCATACTCCACATACTTCACTCTAGCTGCTGCTCGAAGCCGAGTACTTTTTGTCCTGGATGTTTGTGGGAAGACTGGTTACCTGTCCAGGTGAACCTGCCTTCACCCTGAGTCAGCTGGAATAGGCTCCGCCCCCCATGACCCTAGTGAGGATTAAGCGGAGTATAGATGATGGATGGATGGATGTTTGTGGGAATAATCGAGCTCACTGGCTGTCGCGGCTGAGACTTTACAGCATGTTAGTCAGTCTGAGCACACGGTGTGATCAGGAACAGCAGCCAGCCCACACTGCTGTTAACCACAAAGCTTTCCTGTTCACTCAACCAGGTCATGGGGAACAATGTGCAGACGACCATGTGCTAAGAACAGCTCACCGCGATGTGAGAAAGAGAACTCATCTCTGTGGAGCAAAAGTTCACATTGAGGTTTATCTCCTCACCAAAGTGATCCTTTCAGGCCTTGAAATGACTCAGATGTGTCTCTGCACTGTTGCTTCCTTTAGAATGATGTTTGAGGTCCCTGCCTCTGGCTCTACTGCTGGCAGCTCGAGCACACCAGCTCCCCTACAGCTCTGTTAAGACAAACTGCTCTGCACTACACAATGGCAAGTTGTAATATTAAAGTCATTCAGCGACTTGAAAGGGAAACTGATTCTTAAGAATATTGATGCAGAAGGTCCCGACCTGCGAGTTGACGGGTTTCCTCAGGTTTGTTGAAACCCTGGAACTCTGAAGGTGTGTTTGTGAGACTCACAGGTGGAAACATCTGAGCCGCGCCGTTTTATTTTACTCACAATGTGTCTCCTGGGAAACAATCCTATGGACATGACGAGGATGAAGGTTTTCACCAGAGAAACATTAATCCACAAATTAAAACATAATCAGCTCAATTAAAGGATTTAATTCAGCATTATTTGTCTGTAGCTGGTTAGAATATGGGGGAATACAGGTCGTGTCTCTTTGGATGGTGATGGTGCGAATGTGAGTAAAGCTGTATGAAGCTGTTTGTGCCACTAGAGGGCGTAAACTGAGAGGGTCTTCTGTAGGCTGCTCCTCATCTCTGCTTGAGTTTGGCAGCTCAACGTGAGCCGCTCCTGGCTTCACTCACCTCAATCTATAATGTAGGTTTCACAGTTTAAACAATGGAAACGAGTGTGGAGGCTGAATGATGAAACTTCTGCTTCTGCTGCATCCGTTTAACGTTAAATCACGAGTGGCTTCATCATTTAAGTGACAGAACGTCAACCAGCAGCGATTCTGAACAACAGTTTGTCTTTTAAATAATTTTTTTAAGTAAAAATGTGCAAATGTCACAGGTTGCAGCCTCTGAGACGGGAAGACTTTAAAACTGGACTGAACATCTGTGGGTTTTGGTCCAGACAGGACTTTTGGATGCAGTCTCTTTTCACAATTCTGCACCAAGTTCCAGAGCAGATAAGAATGAAGACAAAGTCAGCGATTCCAGTTTCTGTCAGATTCACTGAACGTCCTCCAAAGGTTTTCCTTCTGTCCATTCTAAATGTACCTCCGCCGGCAATAGTGCCAGTGATTTAATCAGTTAAACATGAAAATAATGAGCAGATCCATCCATTATCTATCTACAGCTTCATCCTCACCAGGGTCATGGGGGGCGGAGCCTATCCCAGCTGACTCAGGGTGAAGGCAGGTTCACCTGGACAGGTAACCAGTCTATCACAGGGCTACACTTAGAGACAGACAACCAAGCACACTCACATTCACACCTACGGACAATTTACAATCACCAATTAACCTCAGCATGTTTGTGGACTGTGTGGGAGGAAGCCGGAGAACCCAGAGAGAACCCACGCTGCACGGGGAGAACATGGAGACTCCTAATTAGCAGATGTAATTAATAATGAAATTAAGAATGTGTTGCAGCCAGACTTTACTGTACGTGTGTTTGTCCCAGGTTTTGTCTCTGCAAGAGCAGCTGGAGTCAGCTGAGCAGCAGCAGCAGCAGCAGCAGACTGGGCAGGTTCAGGCCGTGGAGCTGACTCAGGTGAGTCTCTGTGGTCAAATGTAAACCTTGTGAAAGAGTACCATGTCTTCAGGAGCTACAGACAAGTAATGGTTCAACCTGGGAGGAGTCATTTCATCTCAAATCATTAAATGAGATATATATATATATATATATACACACTAAGAAAAGGCATTTCCATTTCCTGACATGTCATCCAAACATAGCCTCAGATGGCAGTGTGTGAACACAACGTGCTGAAAGTGGGTTGATGGGCAATTTCAAAACCAAAAAAGTTACCTTAGAAAGTATTTACACATCAGTCTATAACTCCACAGATACCATATTAAATAGTTTATGATTTTAAAACAGTTTCAATAAAATCAGAGATATTAGAGCAGAAGTAGAACATCATGTAGGAGGGAGTCTGTTTTCTGCTGTCACACTTCAGCACCTACTGGTGTTTGTTGGCAAAAGTTTTCAAACCAAAGCATGTCAAAGTGGTCGTGTGAACTCAGGACAGAAGGTGATTATTGCTCCGACCAAAAGCCTTTTGTTGAGGAAGCTTGTACTTCCTGAATAAATGATATGACTTCAGCATGATGTTGTTCAGCAGGCAGAGGCCTCGAATGAACGCAGAGCTAAGAGGAGGAAAGATCCAGCAGCTGTTTGGCATTGAACAGCCTTATTAATGTTGACTGTGGTTAGAGACACAGATCCAGTGCCTGATACTTTCCATCATACCTGGTTTTCTGTGTTTTTCTCAGGTTGCATCTCTGCGGAGGAAAGCCGAGCAGCTGGAGTCGGTCCTGCAGCAGCAGCAGCTAGTTCAGGCCAACCAGGCCAGTGAATTAGCCAAAGTACGTCTCACTGTACAGATGTGTGAACATTAGATCTGAAACACTCTGCACATCCTACAGCCGCTCTGTTAAGTCTTCTAAGCCATGACCAGAACCTCGTATAGACAGATGCTCGTGTGTGTCTGAACGTCGTGTTTTCTGTGTTTTTCAGGCTCAAGCAGCAAAGCTGGAACAGAGCGATCAGACCTGCAGACATTTACAAGAGAAACTCGCTGCACAGACCAAAAAGCTTTTGGAAAAAGAGGAACTTGTGAGTTAATACCAACAGAAACTCAGTCTATGAGGAAACTTCTACCTGGTTCTCATTCACATCCATGCTGTAGCGTTCTGGTCCTGGCTGCCTGGTTTCTTGTCTTTACCAAATAAATTAATGCGTCGACTTTGATTTGAAGTATAGTTGAAGTCTGTGTGCTTGGAGACAAGACACTGATCACTTTTAGATATTATAGAGGATATCATCCACTTTCTGCAACAGTGTGAGACTGAATGGTGTTTGGAGGCTGATGTGGGACTGAGTACGTTTTGGAGTGCAATCATTCGTCAATATCCAGTTCTTTAAGTGAGCTTCTCTACTGGGTATAAATATGAGTGATGCACGATATTAAAACTTCTGGCCGATACCGATATCCGATATTAAGATGTCTGACATCGCTGATGACTGATGTCACCGATGTCGACATTCAATTTTTGTTCACACCGAAAAATGAGTATAAGTGAGCGCTGTGAGAGAACTGCTCAGAAGAAGCCCAGTTAGACCACATAGCCTGCTTTATTACGTAACAGAAGTAAAACATGTTTTAACATATTTAAGTCCATTTAAGTGAAAACATCTGTGATAGAGCAGCGATATGAAACGTAGAGACGAAGGCGCTAATGTTGGACAGTCATCGGCTAAATGTGTTCATCAGACCGATGCCGATGTGGTCGCCGATATGTCGAGCATCCCTAATCAATATGTGGGTAAAAATCTTCAGACACACTGAAGTAGTTCAGCTTGAGTGCAGTCAAATTTAAAGAGATTGAATATTTGCAGATGCCCCCCGACTAGAGGCCTCGGCGACTCTGATGTTATCGAATGTAGAAACTCAACCAGACCTCTGAAGTGTATTCTGACTGTGGACCCTGTAGCTGCATTGATCTGCATGCTGTTGTCTCTGCAGGTCGAGTCTCTGCAGCAGCAGGTGCAGCGGCTGCAGGCGGCCCTGCAGCAGCAGCAGCAGCAGCTCGGCGCTGTGCAGCTTCAGGCCGACCGGGCCGACGAGCTCGCTAAAGTAAGCGCTGTCCCTGAGCCTTATGATCAAAGCTTATGTCTGTCTTCACCAATCAGTCTTCTAGAAAGTCTTAACTTGGTGAAGTGAAGCCGTGTCTGAATCTCGTTGTGTTTCCAGTCCAGTGCAAATGAGCTGATCCAGAGCAATCGGACCTGCAGGGATTTACAGAACAAACTCGGTGCTCATGTGAGATCTCTTCTGGAGAACGAGTCAGAAGTAAGTGAATCGGTTTACTGAAAGGATACGGAGAGGTTTCCTATGATTATATTTATGTTTTATTTTTAATAGAAGCGCCTGTAAAGACTTTGTTCATCTGAATGTTTTGTTCCTTTCAGATTCGTTCTCTTCGACAGCAGCTGGACGATGCTGCAGCTAAAACCTCCACCAGAGAAAACAGCCTCCAGGATCAACAGTAAGACACTCGATCCCTGCGCCGTCCAGCTGCATAATGCATGGACATGCCACCTCTCAGGTGTGCAACAAGATATAGTTGAAGTGAGAATTTATGGGTGTGTCCGTGTCTGTGTTTGGAGGCTGTTGAAGCACAACAAGGCAGATTCACGACCTCGTACAGACACTGGCTGTCAGCTGGAAGACGATACAGGGCTGCAGACACAGCCATGCAAAGAAGACACAGTAGATAAGGTCAGGTACACCCCATGAAGCTGGTCATTAAAACTTACTTTTATTTTTTATCAGTACAGTTATTTGCCATCACTGTGTTCTGAATTTGTCCAAGTAACTCTGTCTCACACTAATAACGTTCCTTTACAACTGAGCTGCTCTCTTATTTATGTATGTTTCCTCTGAAAGACAAGAAGTCGGCATAGTTACGTAAAGTCATCGGGACGTTGGAGGGACAAGTCTGCAGCAGGACTTCCACCCTGAAGGCTGGAGATCGTGGCCTGTGTTAGACCATGAGACCAAAGTTTTGTTTTCAATCGCAGTCCAGAAAACTTTAGGAAAATATCAAGCTTAAGGTTAAAATTGATCCTTCTGCAACATGAACTACATTTTAGAAGCTTAGTTAAGTTTAGACAATGAAAACGCTCTGTTAGGTTTTAGAAAATATCATGGTTTGGTTAAAATCTGGTCCGTTCACAACATGTTTCTCCTCCATTGTCCAGAGAACCAGGACAACAAGTCCCACCTCATTCCATATGTAACTGAGTTCAGTTGTAAAGGAACTGGCCAGATACTGGAAAAACTGCAAAAACTGAAACCACGTCTGTGCCCGCTGATGTTTTTGTTCTGGCCTGTAGGAGCGTCCTGATTATGAAGAGGTGATGAAGACTCTGTTCTCCACCCGAGAAGAGTGTGAGGCTCTTAAGAAGGAGATCTGTGAAACGCTGCAGTGCCTCGACAAAGAACGAAGGTACCGAGGGCATCATTAGAACGACATATACTACATTCAACCCTCTTAAACTAGAAAACATGACAACTGAATGTGATTACATCTTGTTCTGACGTAATGCTGTAAGATTCACAGCTCAGCGTACCTCATAGCTTCAGTTTTTCATATCTGGTTTGATCACTGGTCGTGTGTCCGTCCTGCTCCAGCAAACACCACGAGCTGAAGGAAAAACACAAAGCGAGACTGTGTCGAGCCAAGCAGAAGTTTGACGACGAAACCTCGTGGCGCGACGAGAAGATAAAAAGTCTGGAGAGAGAACTGTCCTTCTGTTCCCACACGGTCACAAAGGTGAATCTGCTGCTCGTTCCTCCTCCACACAAAAGAAACGGGAGATGTTTGAGGTGGGGCAGCTGTTTCTGTTCGCTGTCGTGCTTCTTGTCCTTCTGGAGCCACAGCTTGTTCACGTGAACACACTGTGAAGGGCTGAATCCACATTTACCGAATGACTAAATCACTTCTATAGAGAGAATCATCGACGATGTGTTTTCAGGTTTAAGAGCAGAGGCGGTAGCTGATGCTGGGTTTTTGTTTCCAGGAGAAAGAGCTGGTCATGAGCATAACTGTTGAAAACGAGAAGCTCCTTTCTGAGAGGAGGAGGCTTCTGCAGCAGCTGCATGAGGAGGAGCACGACAAGAAGGACAGCAACCTGACGGCGTCTCTGTCCAAATGCAGGTATTAGAACGACCTGAATGCAGCACACGATGAGAGGCTGTAGTCCACATGATGTGTTTTCTAAAGCGGTGTGTCCCATCAACGTGTGTTCTCCACTAACCTGAAACGCTTGCTTTCATCTCAGGGTGGACTTTTTAGAGATGGAAAACAAGAAACTGGAGAACAAAATATTCCACATGTCCACCCAGCTGGCCGTCCTGGAGCGCAGCCTGCAGAACGTTCAGTCGCTTCAGTTTGCTGAGGTACCAGTCAGGCTGCTGTGGTGTGGAGCTACTGCTGCTTTGCATCCAGTGTGGCCGCCGTGAAGCTGATCAGTGAGGCCATGTTGCCTTATACCAGGGATCTCCAGCTCCGGTCCTCGTGAGCTACTGTCCTGCAGGTTTTAGACATTACTGCAGCACACCTGACTGGATCATGAACAGACTTGTGTAGAACTTGACAACAAGCTGCTGGAGCTCCATTCATGTGAGTCAGGTGTGTAACGTCTAAAACCTGCAGGACAGGAGCTCACCAGGACCAGAGCTGGAGATCCCTGACGTATACACGCTAGAAAATAAAAGCTCTGGATGGATGACCGATGCAGGGACGGCTTAGCGAGTCCAACATGCCATCAGTTGAGCTAAACACCTACATTTACCTACATTTGTTAAACTCAGACGCTCGTTAGTATGCTGCCATGTTAACTGTTGGGTTATTCCATCTGAAGTCATCAGGGGCTTCCTGCTCAACAATATCAGAAACTACGGATATTTAAAAAGGCATCTGTAAAACATGGATTCATATATCGAGTGCTTTTTGAGATATTTCTTAAAAATCGCCCGTTGACTCACTTGCAGCACTTTTTCACACTGAAATCTGAGGCTTTTTGAAGCACAACATCTGAGGAACTATTAAAGATAGCAGCCTGTCACTTTCAGTTATTTCCCATCATGCTGTTGATTCAGAATCTGCAACACTGGACAAGTAGATCAAACAATCTCTAATTATGGGTGAGACGAAGTACGGAACGTCCCATCTCTGAGGACACATGAACAAAAAAACAGACAATGTCAGCTCGTGATTTTTTTCTGAGCTATGTGTCATTGAGAATAATTCTTCATAAAAAGTTTTCTTCATTGAACTTTCAGAGCTGAATCATGACAAGCTGCACCACAGGGGTGTCCAGTCCTGGTCCTGGAGGGCCACAGTCCTGCATGTTCTAGATGTTTCCTTCTTCCAACACACCTGATTCAAATGATCAGGATGGTTATCAGGCTTTTGCAGAGCTTGATGATGAGCTGATCGTTTGAATCAGGTGTGTTGGAAGAGAGAAACATCTAAAACATGCTGGATAGGGGCCCTCGAGGACCAGGACTGGACACCCCTGTGTATACCACAATAGTATTGGTGGGTAGCTCAATCGGTTTCAGAAATGATTTCCCAAATATAACTAAGACATTTGTTTTTAATGTGGATGTATTTTTATATTTTATCTTTTGGAGTTTGTGAGTTGTTGTCGTTGTAACATAGCCTCAAATTCTAATGTTTAAAAATATGCTAAAGTGTATTAAAAATAATACATCTCTCAGGAAGTATTTGAAATATCGAGACTAAATTCAATAAATATCTTCATAAATATCCACCTTTTATGCTTTTCAAATCAGAGCTGTTCAACTCTGTCAGTGTGTTGATTTGATTGAATGTAAATTTAAATCAGAAGATAAGATATTTAGTCATTGAAGTGTTTGACAAGCGGATCACCTGAGTCCCTACGATCCAACCTCTGCCGACTGGTTCCGACCAAATACATGAAATATTCATCCACAGCAGTCTAACAGAGGAAGCAGCATTTATTTTTAAAATGCTCTTGTTTTGTTTGCTCAGGAGCTAAAGAAAATCTCAAACCACCTCCCGCTCTTCACACCTCTGCACACGTCCAGGTGGGTCCGATCCTGATTCAGAACTTGATGTTTAGCTTAATAAAAAAAAAAAGACCCAATCAACTATCTGAGCTTTGTGTCCTCAGCGTGACGTCGTCTGAGCGCTCCGATATCCAGGGCTCACTGGACGCCAAGCAGACAGACGCCACGCCTTCCCCTCACTGTCGCACCTCCGGGCCCTGGTGCCGCCCGGCAGAGATGGGCTACCTGAACCTGACCTCCACACAGAGCCGCCCGGACCAGCCGGCTCCTCCGGCCGCCCTCAGCAGCTCTGAGAGTCCCCGTCCCTGAGTCTATCCTGTGTGCAACCTGAACATACTGTACAGAAAACACGCCATTTGTAAGTTAAATTAATAAATAACTGAACAGAATTAAACTGAGTTCATCATCCATTAAAACAAACTGATCTGGACTAGATTTTACACTTTATCACTATTTTAGGCTATATACTAATAGTTTCTTCTTCCTTTTTTTTTAAATTAAAAATGAGTACTGAGCAGGTTTATGGGGCTCAAACATGCATCTAACACTGCACAACTTTTTGAGACATTATCAAATTAAAAGCATCACAAAAAAGCACCAAACTGCTTCTTGCAGCGTCTCCAGTGCAGCCCGGATCACATGATGTCCTGCACTGAGGTCAGACCTCCGACTGCTCGCTGGTCGGACTTCATGAGAGCTGAAACATTGACAAGAAGACACACAGAACCATCTCTGGCACACGGTGTCGATTCTCTCATAGTGTATTTGTGCTTACAAATGTATGATAAAAAACAAACACTGCTGCAGAAAAGCAATCGATGCAGGTACAAAACATTTATCACCAGTCAAAGCTGCTGCTTTAGGAATACCACAGAGAGCGTAGCAATGCCCTGCACACAAGTTTCAGCACATTTAGAATTAAAAATGTTCACCATGCTACAGTAACAGTGATGTAGGACATGAAACCTGACAAGAGCTATTCAGAGCTGACCTCAAGAACAGTATAAAACACAGAAATGTAAAACAGAAGTGCTAATGAAACCTGAATGGCAAATGGAGAGTATAACAGTTAACAGGAAGCCCAGAGTAAAAACAACATGAGGAACTATGAGTCCTCACACAGCCGGACTCGTTGTCTTCTTATCATTGTCAGTGCAAAATGCAAAGCAAACAAATTCAAACATTCAAATGGTGAGGATTTGCCAGTCTAATGGGCTGAACCATACGCCTGGGCTCGAAGCTTCACAAATCACGTCTGGTTGTTTTTATATTTCTCAGTTCACCGGCTGCTCCAGCTTTTACGGGGCAACAATGGGACCCAAGAGGATTTGTTTTAACCACTCACATGTTAACACTTCTTTAAAATACCCAAATATCACATCATGGATAACACACATCCATCCAAAGGCTTGTCTTTGTGCATTTGACGTCAACACTGGATGAAGAGAAAGCAAACTGCTTTCCAAAGAAGGAAGGATGGGATGAAGTCATTGTGACTAATTAGTAGAAAGTTTCCTGTCAACATTCATTCGCAGCTTCAAGCTCAATAAAGATTTTCTGTCAAAAAAAGGTATTTTGGGAAAGCTGATGAACTAAATGTGACTTGGATCGATTAATACAGACGATTATCACCCCAGAAAACATCGACTCTGATGTTCTTTCAACACACAAATGAACAGACTAGAAATCCGTTCAGCTCACAACTCTGTGAGATCATTTTTCTTTTGACTACTCAGAGAGCTTGACGTTGTGGGCGTGTTGCCTTGTCACGCCGTTCACTCTGCAGCACGTTCACACATCACACGGTGGCGATGAAGCAGATGCAGCATTTGCATAGTCATTTACCTGAGTGCTAGAAGGTTCTCTGTAAAGGCAGGTGGGCAGTGGAAGGTGCTGTCACCACATCAGGAGAACCCACAGATGAAAAGATCACAGGAACTCTGTCATATTCCATCTGTGTCAACCATCCACCCCGTTGGATGTTTCTCCTTGTTTTCTTCTCCACATTGAATCAGAGTCAATTTAAATGGGATTCTGACAAGAATTCACATACAGACAAAATTCTATAAAAAGAGATCGCTACCAAGTAATAAAGTAATAAAGTAATAAAAATATAAAATACACAAGTCAGGTGATGGAAACAAGAAAATGTTCAGGTGGAGAATATTCCTCTGAGTACAGTTAAATTCATCGTTAACAAATGAAAAGAATCTGGCACATGCAGGAGGCCACCGAGAGACCCGTGACTCCTCTGAAGGAGGTACAAGAAGGAGACGAGTGAAGGAGGTCACCAAGACTCCTATGACTCCTCTGAAGGAGGTACTAGAAGGAGACTAGTGAGGGAGGCCACCAAGACTCCTATGACTCCTCTGAAGGAGGTACAAGCTTTAGCTGCTGAAATGGGACAGACTGTCCATAAAACAACAGCTGCCTGATCTTCACCAGTCAAAGCTTTGTGGAAGAGCGACAAAGTGAAAGCCCCAGTTGAAAAAACATTGAATCTCGTCCACAGTTCACCAGAACACACGTAAGAAACTCTGAAGGTAACATGAAGAAGGTTCTTTGGTTTGATGAGACCAAATGTGACCTTTTTGGCCATCAGTAGATGCTATGTTTGGTAGATACCAAACACTGCACATCATGACAAACACACCATCTCCACCGTGAAGCACGGTGGTGGCAGCATCATGACGTGTGGATGCGTCTCTGCAGCAGCCTGGAAGGCCTGTAAAAGCTGAGGGTGAAATAAATGCAGCAAAGTACAGAGAAATCCTGAAGGACGACTCGGTGCAACAGAACATTCGACTTTGGAGAAGATTCGTTTTCCAGCAAGACAATGACCTAAAGTACACACTCATGACTACACAAACTGCATGAATACTCTTCACAGGCGCTGCATACGAGGCAGCTTGGCACATTTCTGCACGTCTACCTTCACACACACTACGGTGTGCGCAGAGTATCATAATGTTTTGGTGCCCACAGTAGTCGAGTGACTCGAATGTCCCCTCTGTAGCTGATACCGTTATCCCAGCAGTACTCTGGAGAAAGCAGCCTGCTTGGTTTGTGAAGCCAAAAGTACTTGTTCAGGTGACTCTCGTCGTGCCACAAAGCCTCCACGTTATTTCGTTTGTCCTCCATGATGTTCTGGTAGCAGGCCTCAGTCAGGGCCTTCACGCTTCTCCACGAGCCTCCAAAGACTGCAGCGTGGTAGTAGAAGTCTCCAGTCTTCATGTACGCTTTGGACTTTGGGTTGTGGTCGTAGGTGAAGAGCGTCACTGGAAAGCGGTAGTAGTAGGCATGGAGCAGAGCCACCGAATCCCCCAGAGCCTCAGAACCGAACCTCCCAGAAAACACCTGATCCACGTCGAAGCAGAAGACGTGCGTGCAGTGGTGGCGAATGTCCGACTCGATCGTATCGAATATCGCCTTCATTCGCATCATGGAGATGTCCTGCCACCTGGCGTGCCGCTCCACCTGGATCACTTTGAGGCTTCGCTGAGGACCGAGTTTGATTTGTGGCACTTTCTCTGGCATGTCGGTGAACACGTAGTACGACACGGGCAAACCCAACATGAAGTGCTGCTCTGATGAGTTCAGGAAGGTCTCCAGGTATTCGTCCAGGTACCTGTGATGGAAGTGGACACAAGAGCAGGTTTATGCTTCGTTTTATATAAAAGTTACCACAGTTACACCTATATTTGCTAAATGAATGAAACCAGGGTGTGTTTAGGAGTTTAGTCCACCGTAACACTCATGGTATGGACGTAAACACAAACCTGCCCACGGCAAACACAGTTAGAGCAACAGAGGAGCCCTCCTTCTTGTGCACCCGGTCATAGAGATCAGGGTCGAACATCCCCTCCCAGATGATGGGAGCTTTCCAAGATGTGCACGTTTGGACGTCACGTCTAGACCTGCAACACAGAAAGACTCTTTAAAGTTTAAACACATGGATCAGGTTCAGCTCGTGACTTCTGCATATTCCCCAGTGACTGTGCCATGCTATGAAGACCCAGTCATGTTTAGTAGATAAGTCACATGCTTTTCTTTTTCTTTAAAAACATTTTAAAATTCTGCTGTAGAGTTTTTGTGTCTCTGTACTGCCACTCAGGACAACAATCCACCATCTAACATCCATCAACTCAACCAAAAAACTTCATGTGCGTCTCAGGATCTACTCTTGTAGAAATGTGTACAGCTCAGGCAGAAACTATCGTAATGACTTCTGACAAAACACGATTAAAAATCTGATGCACTGTGGCGAATAGAGCTGGAACAGGACAGCAAAACAGTCTGTAGCATTACTGGGTCCTTCCATCTCCAATCAGAACCAGAATCCGCCTTATGGGCCAAGTGTGGGAACACATACAAGACATTGGACGACCACGGATACGAGTAAAAGAGGATGTTTGAAGTGAACCAGAGCTTTAGTGCAAAATTACAATTAACAATAAAGACAGTTAACGACAGCTGATATACATGAAGTAGGTGAAGGATGCAGAGATGAAACATTTACAGGCATGTGGTGGAAAGCATTGTTAAATTATGACCACAGTTTGTGCTTGATCTGATTTTTATGGCAGAAAATGTGGATTTGTCGTCCTCAGATTAATTCATCCCCTTCCATTAAAGAAAAGGCAAAATTCACACTCAAATAACTAGAAACTGGACAAAGTAATAAGAAAATAAAAATTTGCTAAAATTTATTGAAATAAGACACTGATTTTGAATTGTGGTTGAAAAGAATAATTAAAAAAACAAACTGTCCCGGACCAATGAGAGGCCTTTGTAAGAAATGCTCTCTGATTATGGGTCAGTTAAAATATGCAGAGAAAAGGAAAAGGAAAAGTCCTATCAACAGGAAACAATGAACGACTCAGAAGTCAACTCGTGATGTTTTGTGAACACAGAACGCTTCTTCAGATGAAACACTTGGTCACAAAAAGTCATTTTTCTTTAGCTTTTAGAACTGATGGAGCAGCGACAAGACGCCCCACAAAAACAGGAAAACTGCTTCGAAACAAAAGCCAATGAAAACAACAACAACAACAACAACAACATGTTTGTTTGTGATAAACTTCAAGCAAATCGATGTTTGTCTTTGAAATGATTTATTTTTGGATAAACTAAGAATCCATTCCAATAAAAAGAGTGTTTACTGCTTTAATAAAGGCTGCCCAACCTTAAAGACATAAAAGCAGGAACACAATAAGTTCACTTTAGATCTGAAGTTCAGGTACCTCAGCTCCTCATTCATCCCGTCAGACACACCCAGGACGCTGCACAACCACTGATAGCTGCAAACCAGCGCCGACAACAAAGACAGAACCGCCAGTTCAAGAATGGACCCTGTAACCCAACTCTGGTATTTACTCACTTTCATGTATTGAGTGTGTCTTTGGGTGTCTCCTGTTTGTATTGCACTGCATTAAAGACTTACTCAGAGAGCATAGAAGCAATAATGAAGTGAACTCCAGGAAGTCTGCCTGCTTTATTGACTTATTCAACACCTGGTTGGTGCTGACGTGGTCCCTTCCTCTGTACCTGGAATTATTTGTCTTTAGGTATTTGATTTATGTATCCGTCCATCATCTCTCCACCTTAATCCTCACCAGGGTCATGGGGGGCGGAGTCTATCCCAGCTGACTCAGGGTGAAGGCAGGTCCACCTGGACAGGTAACCAGTCTATCACAGGGCTACACTTAGAGACAGACAACCAAGCACACTCACATTCACACCTACGGACAATTTACAATCACCAATTAACCTCAGCATGTTTCTGGACTGTGGGAGGAAGCCGGAGAACCCGGAGAGAACCCACGCTGCACGGGGAGAACATGGAGACTCCACGCAGGAAGATCCCGGGTGTCCTCACCGGGATGTGAACCGGCGACCTTCTAGCTGTGAGGTGATGGTGCTAACCACCGAGACACCTGCAGCCTCATAATCAAATGTAAAGATGAAAATCAGAAACAGGAGCCGTTGCATAAATATTAAACCTGTATCTGATATTGGGCTGATTTGGTCACTTATTGTTATTTAAAGTTCTGACAAAGTGCAGTTTGGGAGCTCAGTAATTAAAATGGATTTGCTTCAGTGGTAACACCTCCTGCCTGCTTCCTGGTGCTCAAGCCGAGTAGAAACCAGACGGATATAAAGAAGTAAAGGTACAAGCAGACAACGTTTCATTTACATCTTTTTTACTCATTTATTTTTTAAAGATTTCCGAGAAACTTCCCCTTTAACGTTCCTGAAGTTTATTCAAGGAGACTGAAGACAAAGACAGATTCTAGCAGGACCAGATGAAGGCAGAACCTAAAGGTAGCTGTGCAAACAACAGACTCCAAGAATACAAGTTGTCACAATTCATTCTTACCTAAAAAAAGTGTCAAGTTCAGAGTGTCTACTTTACAAAGTGATGAGACTGAACTGAAGAATCAATGGAGCATCAATGGAGCGTTTGACTGCTGCAGGAACTCTACGGTGTGTTCTGACCGGCCTCAGGCATGACCAGCCGGTTTGGAGGCGGATGTAATGACCTCAGAGTGTAAATTGAAGCTTGGTAATGATTAAACTTTCTAACAAGACTTTGCGAATTCAAAGCAGACACAAATTTGCTCGGGAATAGTTCCTGGAAGCTTTTAGCCGGATTTGAATCTGACTTTGGTGGAATGTAAAGAAAGCTGCAAAGAGAAGGAGGAGAGGTGGAATAATGTAGGAAAGTTGTGAAAATTAGGCTTTGTTTCCACCAAACAGGCATCAGAGCCTAACTGTGGGGGCTTGTGGATGCTTCAGTAAACCTTCTGTCAGGGTTTACTGCAGCTTCAGTTCACGTTTCCTTCACATGTTAATCACGGCTTGTATGATTAACGTGTTGAATAGTTCTGACTGTAACCCACTGCTGCTCCTCTCACTGTCTGTCTGCCATAAAGCTTCAGGAATAAAACGAGCAGTTTTCATGTTTTTAATGGAGCAGAATGTAATTATGGCGTTTGGTCTCTACTGACAGAAGGACAGAAAAAAACCTGAAGAAACAGCGAGCAGATGGAACCACAAACCCGTCCTTTGTACATTTTCTACTGTGGACACAGTGACGTTACCACCGGTTGGCCACCAGAACAACGCTGACTGTGGCTCTTATCAAGCGAGCCGCGGTCGTGAGATTACGTGTTTCCTATTCAAACAGATTACAGGTGTGTCCTTTGTAGCAGGTCTGAGGCGCTGCAGCCGTACGTTTGCACTGTTTGTGTTTTATTCATTTGAGAAGGTAAAATTTATCCTTGAGGTGAATACATCAGTTAAACGATGTAAATACGAGCAGACAGTTTCTGTGATTGGTTCCACCCATCATCTCTACACCTTAATCCTCACCAGGGTCATGGGGGGCGGAGCCTATCCCAGCTGACTCAGGGTGAAGGCAGGTTCACCTGGACAGGTAACCAGTCTATCACAGGGCTACACTTAGAGACAGACAACCAAGCACACTCACATTCACACCTACGGACAATTTACAATCACCAATTAACCTCAGCATGTTTCTGGACTGTGGGAGGAAGCCGGAGAACCCGGAGAGAACCCACGCTGCACGGGGAGAACATGGAGACTCCACGCAGGAAGATCCCGGGTGTCCTCACCGGGACGCCAACCGGCGACCTTCTAGCTGTGAGGCGACGGTGCTAACCACTGAGACACTTTTAAGAGAAACTATCAGTAAACTTCGACTGAAGTAAAACAGCCTTCAACAGAACAGCTTGAATAATTACAATAATTAGATTTCTCTGAGTTGTTTTAATGGTGCTTCAGGTCGTCTCCTGATGTCAGGACACACATTTATTTATTTTTAATCATAAATCTTTATTCCAGTAAAACACTTTGTATAAATCCAGATTTTATGGCTGAAAATAACTTTTTCAATCATTTTCTTTAAACCAAGTAAAGAAACATGGTGGCATTGTTGGTGCTGATATTTGGCGTTTTGACGCATGTCGGCATCGGCCTTGTTTTTAATTTGACAGCCGATAAGAGATGAATTTAAAACGGTGTTGTTTTGGCTCTGATGCAGCAGCGTCTGACTGGAAACGATTAATGCATACGCTGCAACTTGTCGTCTCCAAAGTCGATCTGAACAGGACAAGAAAGCATTTAGGTTTTCTGCACCTGATGCTTGGAATTAATTACAACCTAGACTTCAACACGAGGCCCTTGTTACACTGAATGAATCTAAAGTTGGGGTGAAGTCATTCCAGTCCACCTTGTCTGTGAGCAGGTTCAGTGTTTTTAAGGTTTATCTGCTGTTAACTGTTTCTAACTGTGCTGCTCCTCTCCCTTGTAAAGGAGACAAAATAAACCAATGTTAAATAAAATAAATGCACAGTGCTCACACACCGGCGGAGAGCAGAGAAAGTTTTGCTGAGTGGAGAAGCTCTGGAGAGCAGATCAATGTTTTGAAGGTAAGTTAAAGCAGCAGACTGTCTACTAACCATCCAGTCCTCTCCAGCTCCAGTACTGGTGACGGTACTGTGAGCCCAGTAACGCTTTATAAAGCAGAAGTTCTGCAGCTCGCTCTCCGTGACAGTAGAAGTGTGAGTGTATAAAACCTAATGAGCTCAGTTCAGTCCAGTTTTATTGCAGGTGAAGGCTGATTAGCTTTTAGTGTAGCGTTAGCCCGCCGCCCGCCTCCTCCTGAGGCTCTGGACGCTCAGCAGACTGCAGCGATGGGACGACGTCTGCTGTGTAGAGAACAGTGTGTGTCTGGAGCCACATGAGGAACTCTACAACCACGACGAGCAGCG